TTTACATACATACATACATACATACATACATACATACATACATACATACATACATACATACATACATACATACATACATACATACATACATACATCAATCATTAAAAGAAAATAGTAACATTAAAATTTAAAAGACTTTTATCTACTTTATCTCAACAACTCAAATAAGCCTCACGAAAAAGTCTAGTTTATTTGTCTAATCGTGAAATCATGATGTTAGTTGTATGATGTTTAAATTTCTGTTTACTTTTATATTGTAATCTAATACATTGTTTGTAATTGGTTCGATTATGTTTGAGACATTTAAACTTACATGTTTTAAAAAATTGTAATTTACTTTTAGCTGTGAAAACTAACAATAATCGGTTCTCGCTTCGGTTTCGGGTATAACCAACGGTGAACCAGAAAAAGATGATTTTTACACTTAACGGTTCCCCGACGGGGATCCGGGATCAGAGCGGTTATGAGGACGATTTTAGTTATCGGCTTTGGGAACGGGGATACCAATAACAAGCCCGAACCCGGCCCGTTGTCATTCCTAAGAGTGGTGATCAAGAAGGAGAAGCAACAACACTAAAAGTAGCAGCAAACAACAGTAGGGTAATCTTGTAGAAGTTTAGTCTCTGAATGATATCGATATGCTCTAGAGATAGATTGAGCGATTCAACGGCTGACACAGTTAGCTTTGAATAACAGCATTTAGATGTAAACAAACAACCCCTTATTCAGAACAAAATCAACTTTTCTCAGGTATTGTTATATGTATCCTGTTTATATTATAACCACGTTAAATTAAGTATAAAAAAATTTAATTTTTTTTGAAGTATATAATATTTATATACGGCAAATAGAACAAATAAACTCACACACCCTCCTCACCTTTGGTAAGGTTTGAACCCTTAACCTCCTAGAAGGCCAATGACTCACATACCGCTAGGCCAAAGACTCTTTGGTAATAAATTTTAGTGTTGATGTATGTGGAAAAAAAACAGTTTTATGTACCGTATTTTTTAAATTTCAAAATAGTTTGTTTTTTCTGAACCCAAGACTAACTGTGCCTGCATGGTACGTTTAAAATTTTGCAGGTCGTGCAATTTGCTGCTTTTTAGAATTATTTCCTGTTTTACATTGAATAAATGATATATAATATTTTTTTAAATCAACCTAGATATCCAACTCGTTATGTGAGTCGATTAATCACGTGAACCGATTAATCATAGGGAGACCACGTGTTTTGCAGATAGTCCGGAGTCATCGCATTTGAACCTCCGTGGCCACAAGAGGATTTTTATTCCTCCTTAGATTTGAACCTGAGACCTCCAGGTACTTTTGATCTTTGGAGTCAAACTCAAACCAACCAGACATCACCCTTGTGGTTAGTATATAATATTTTCTTGCTGCTTAGATTAATGATTGGCTGTATATACACATGTTTTTTTATATAACTTCTCTTATCACACGATTCTTCGTCATAGGTTCACTTAAGAAGTAGAGAAGTGATCTTAGCCCTTCATTTGATCAAAATTTGTGACTTTGACGATGAAGCACAAGATAGTTCCTCACATGATATGCGGAAGAGAAATGAGTAGTTTCGTAACTTTTACATATAGACGGGAAAACAAGTACATATATAAACTCGTGTGATTCATATATGAACTATTTAACTGATTTACCGTGATAAAATCAACCACTTCTACGTATGTATGTATGTACAGGAGAGAGACATGATGTGGGGTTTGTGTTTGATTGATTGAAATTTGAATTTTCTCGCATTTGATCTGCCGACACAAAAAGGAGAGCCTTTTGCTTTGGTCCATAAATAAATAATATATTCTTACTCCAGTTTTTGCTTGCTCTTAATCATTAATCCCTCTCAACTCCTCCCTACGTATGGACTTCTGCCAGAATATCTCCGCCGCCGGTGGACTTCCGACCACCTATCAGCCACCGGAGCAGCACCTCCTTTGCAGCCTCGATGACCTCCTTTCTGGCCATTCCATGGTACCACCACTCACTTGTACACCATGCACTCAATATTCCACATTAACAAATAAAACTTCTAATTCATTTTTTTTTTCGGTTTTCTCGGTTTCCGGACCAATTATACGTACCGACTAATCCCCGTCACCAACTGTTTAATACGGTTGGTGAATTCTAATAAGAGTTGGTGTGTGTCCCGTTAAGCTCGTTAAGCTGCTAACAAACGTGTTTTTTAATGCAGGAAGATGTCAATATGGAATGGCTGTCCATTTTTGTGGAAGACTGTTTATCAAGCAGTGGCAATTGTATGCCTCCAGCAGAGGTTAAACCCCAGAGTACAACTTTCAATGCACAAGGTACAAACACATCAGCAGAGCCTCCTATGAAAGAAACCCATTCCATGCTTAAACTTGTTGTACCTTCCAAGGCAAGAAGCAAGAGAAAGAGAAGCCAAACATGCTGGTCTCAGCAATACCTTGTAGGGAAGAAATGTACAACTCCTAACAGCACCAATTCCGGGCAGGAGGAAGGAAGCAGCGGGCAGGGGCAAGGGCAAGGAAGGAAATGCACACATTGTTTATCACAGAGAACACCACAATGGAGGGCAGGTCCACAGGGACCTAAAACACTGTGTAATGCATGTGGGGTAAGGTATAAGTCGGGCAGGTTGCTGCCCGAATATCGGCCGGCAAAAAGCCCGACTTTTGTTAGCCATAAACATTCTAACTCTCATAAGAAAGTGTTGGAGATGAGAATGACTATTTTACCCTCCTCATTAGCCAATTCCTCCTCTTCATCTTAGTGGGATTGAGGGCTTTGTAGTAATTTTGCATCATAACCCATTTATGTAAGAATCAATGGAGATGGATTATTTGTCTAGAAGCTTCCATTTTTATTAATTAGGTAGTTAGCAATATACAACAATCAAAGGTGTTTTCCCTCCATTTATTTATCTATTATATTTAGAGAAAAATAAATGCCACATGTCGCATTGCTCCAAAACGACTTATTTTTATATATTAATTATGATTTATTTCTCGAGAAAAATCTAAAAATTAAAAACCCAAAAAACTATCATATTTTGAATGATTAAGTCTTTAAATTATCTATATTGTATTATAAAGCATTTGATAAAAACTCTTAAAAACCATTTTTTATGCACAAAGCACTGTTTATTGATGCATAATACTTAAAATTCAAGATTACAAGTAAATTGTGCATAAATACAACTTATTAAAGTTTCATGTTTGAATTCGTGTAACTAACTACAGATAAACATAATCTAATATAGGATACATATCTCATTTTAAATATAAAATATCTAAAATAAAATTAAGATAATCATTAAGTTCTAACAGAGTACTTAATTTTTATCTTTATAAAAAATTATATTATTAAACTTAAATTAAGTTACTTCGTTATCAAACCTAAATCAAATTATAATAAGAAAAATTACATTAAAAAAATAGAAAATTTAAATAGTTAGTTTGATACTAATATAAATATATTTTTTTCAAATTATTATGATATTTTCATATTTATATCTTATGCAAAAGTAAAAACATTATCACTTTCTTAAAATCACATAAAAGTGTATTATAACAACGAAGAAAGAAATGAAACATTAAAGTCGAGATGTATTTCGCTACATTGCGCGAGTACCCTTCTAGTTTTTTATAATATATAAATCTTGAACTCACTGATACAAAGAAAAATCCAACGAACTTTAATATTTTAAACGATTAGGTTCCTTATATTTTCTTGAATAAATAAATCTTTACACTTATAAAATGAACGCATTGTATCATTTCTCTCAATCGATGTATCTACATTAGTAATAATCCAATAAAAAATGATTAAATATTATTTTCATTATTTTTTTCATATTTATATGAATTTTATAGGATCATAAGAAATACCTGCGATTGTCATTTATATCTGAAAAATAAATAAGGTTAATGAAGATGATGTATTCTTTTAGTTTTATTTGTTTGTTGTACTTTTCTACTGATTTGTTGGGTTTTTTTAGACTTTTTATCTGAATTCAGTTATCAATGTGGAACTGAACTGTTTTTATCTTTTTTTTTCATTATATTTATTCCTTTTGATTAAAAAAGGTAAGAAAATGATTTTTCTTTAAAAAGAAAATCCTCCAATAATTGAAATGTTGCTTTCATTTTTTTTCTTTTTGACAAAATTGTCCCAAAAATCAAAGGCAACTTTATAAATATATGATAAATTATATTAATATAAAATATATTTTATTTTAGTTTTTATTTAGAAAAATCTACTTCAAAAGTTTTATTTTAGGGGTGTTTCGGATTGTTTATTTGAAACAACTTATGTTTTTTCTATAAAAGTCCTTATCAACTTATTATAAATTAAAATGGTTTAACTTATTATAAGTTATTCAAAAACTTCTTATTACCGGTTTGACACCGGTATAAGCTGTTTATTCAAACACTCAAAAATGCTTATTACTTGTGTCACATCAAAATAATTCAATTAGTGTTATTTTATGGTGTAACGAGTCTTATTTTAACGGATCCTTAATATCAATATATGCTCGACCACCATTTATAATTTATGTTTTATTTAAATATTTCGGATTTTCTTTATTAATAAAGAAATTGTATTAATTTTCTATTATCGAATTATAATAATATCCTATATCTACGATTCTATAGCTAAGGGTGTAAATGATGCGAGCCGAACTTGAATATCAATATACTCGACTTGAACTCGATAACCATTTCTCAAGCTCGAACTCGACTCGAAAACTGGTGAGTAGTTAAAAATTAAACTCGTCTCGAACTCGATTGCAATTTTTTAAACTCGAACTCGTTTAAATCTCGAACTTCTACTGGAATCAAGCTCAAAATCAAACTCGAATCAAGCTCACCCGTCGAAATTTATGAAATTTTAAGGTATTTTTTTATAAATTATGAAACTTAAAAGGTGTTCTTTTAAATTTTAAAAACTAAAGTGATTCACCTCAAACTTCATCATCAAATAGACAAAGTTACAAGCTTCATTCACTTTTTATAACACTTTTTCATCTTTCTTTTACTATCTCTCTTCCAATATAGGACAACTTCACCAACACTTTTATAGTTTTTTTTTGCCTTTTTAATTATGAATTAAAAAAATTATTGATTAGTTTTTTTAGTTAAAAATGCACAATATTATTCAAATATCTAAAAACATAAGACATTTTTATTACATTACATTATACATATTATAAAACTGATTATATTTTTAAAACTCATTAGAGATAAAAAAAAATCTAGTATCTCACGAACTTTCCAAGTCGAGTATTGGGTCGCTCGACTCGGCCCGTTAATATATCGAGTCGAGTTCGACGTTCGAGTTTGAGTCGAGCCTATCCGAGTCGATCTCGAGTAGCTCACGAGTTGTCTCGTGTCGTTTACATCCCCTATCCATAGCTAGTTAATAATATAAATATATAACTAATAGTTGTTTTTAGTTTAGGATTGAATTCGAGTAAAAAAGTGTCGTCAGAAAAATACTTGTTTCAAAATCGCACGTCTCATTCCCGTCCAACCAATTAAATCAAGACACATCATATTTTTATATATTTTTGATTTATTTAATTCATATTTATTTTGTCTCTCTGCTTACGTGTATTTTTAGGAACTTCAACAAAAGGGTCCTGCTGAAAGATCGAATACAATTCTCAACACGAGAACCTAGTCAAACTTCGGCGTACCTCTCGGAGGAAGAAACTTTACTCGAGTCGGTGAGGACGGTCTAAAGTTTAGCAAGCTACACAGTTTTCTTATCTTCGAGGAATTTCGCTCAATCTCGACCAATCTTTCTGTATTGTGACACTTGAAATGAAATTCTCGAACCATTGTCAGTGAGATTATGGACGTTATGGAGAGGTTTTGGGATCAAGAAGCAGTAACTCCGGGTTGTAATGCTTCGTTCCGAGGCTCCCAGCTTTAATACCTAAGGTCTCAGATCCCATCAACTTCGGCAACTTTATACTAAATTATCGCTAAAAAGGTTATCGGAAAGTTATATTTAAAGTTGATTTCAGTATTGGCTTTTCGTTATTTTTATTGTCACGTTTTAGGTTTCGTGTTCAGTTTTTAACCTCCCCGTTGGATGTTGGTCTATTTTGCTTTTCTCCCTCGTTTTGTTCCCCGCATTTTTTGGTGGTCTTATTATGTCTCTTGCAGAATCTTTTTCCCAATTGTTTTTGCTTTTAATGAATTAAAAAAAAAATGAACTGTTTTTAGTTGAATAAATATTAACCAGATAAAAAATAACCAATAAACTTTGAAAAAAGATGTGTGTTATCTTGTACTTAAAAGAAACAACAATAGACTCGTTTTCAATTATTCATTAATTAAGCCACCATAATGTACAACACTTATTGCATATTGTACAACTGAGTCAGTAGGCAATACAACTGTTTTCATCATCAAAATCTTAAAAATAGAGAATCATAAATCAAAATTCTCACTAAAAAGGTAGAAAGTTACGTATAATGAAATCTACGAGATGCAGAAAAACCATCATCCGGCGAAACAAAACCAGCCAAACCAAAATACAGAGAACCCAAAAAAAGACTAAAAACAGAGATGCGGAGGGTTCCTCGGCCAACAACTAAAAATAACCGAAACGAGAACCAGGCAGCCTGACGGTGCCAGAACCAGAAATGCGCAACCTAACAACGACGCTGTCCCGCAGATCAACGACACGAAAACCTTACCTATCGAGTACATGTCCCTCTCACCAATCAGAGCAACTCTTCAATGGTATCAGTGTACTATATTCTATTTTTTTTTTCTTATAAGTAATCATAAAGGAATATTATAACCATCATGAAATTGCTCCAACTATGTGTTTCAATTATTTCCACCACAATCATCCTCCCAACACAAATTACTAAACAATCATCAAAGTAAAAAAAGATAGATTATAAATCACACTCCAAAATCCAAATGATGAAATCTTGATCTTTGATATCCCACATTCCTATTTAATATACAAAATTGAACCAGAATTGTATATACTGATTCAAATAGTAAGACTAAATACTGTGAGAACGTAAAAGAAGAAGATTAACCATAAGGGTGGTGTTTGATTGGTTTGAGTTTGGCTCCAAAGGTCAAAAATGTCTGGAGGTCTCAGGTTCAAATCCAAGAAGGAACAAAAATCTCCTTGTGGGCACGGATGTTCAAATGCGATGACTTCGGGCTACCTGCAAAATAGGTGGTCGTCCAGGGATTAGTCGACTCGCATAACGGGTTGGATATCCAGGTTAATAAAAAAAAAGGTTCATATGTGTATCATTGAAAAAAATCATTTGAAGATGCATATATAAATACATATAAATAAATTTGTAATCACGGTCCACATATGCATTTTTAAAATAAATTTTTTGGATTTTATCAATGGATACACATATGAACCTCACTTAACATTCTCTTCTTATAATATTTAGTTTTCTTATTTGAACAAACCCCTACCATTTTATTAAGAAATAAAAACAAAAGTTAAATACAAATTTTGTCCATTTGGTCTAGTGGTATCGTAGCATTTGGCCTCTTAGGAGATCAGGGGCTCAAGTCTCACTTAAAGATGAGAAGGGTGTGTGAGTTTATTTGTTGTATTTACCGTATATAAATAATATATACTTCAAAAAAATTAACAAGCAAGGTCCCTGAAAAAGAATTACTAACGAGAGACGTTCTTATAGTTTCATTTTCATAACGGATATAGTCCTTCCTCTGACTCCCTCAATTAAGTTTAAAACTAAATATCCAACAATATATTAGATAATAAGATATAAAAGTATTAAGTTTAAGCATTTTACTAAAACTAATTAATATACAAAAATACTGTTATAGTTAAATTAAGTATAAAAGTATAAGTT